AAGTGTACCTCTGGTGCAAATTACTGACCTCTGTCATCATTTTAAGTGGGGGAACTTGCACAATCGGTGGCTGACTAAATACTTTTTTGCCCCACTGTAAGATTATGACAGAGACAGCGCGGCTAGGCCATGATCATAGTATCAAAATGTATCCAGATTTGACCTACATTTTGATACCATCTATCCCATTTCCTCAAATAGTTGGCAGTGGGAGGTGGTTTCAGGAAGTTGCTAGTAGTTGCTTATGTGAAATTGATGTATATTTACTGCACGTATGGCACCAAGAAAGATGTGGATTCACTGATTTGTTGCAAGCAGTTGTTAGTTTGAAATTGATCACAAAGAAAGTGAGTGTTTGTGGGGAGTACAAGGTTTCCAAATACCTTGCAGGTGAATGTTCTCTGTAAGTGGTTTGAGTCACTTTTTCAATGTTCACTATTTGCTTGGATAGCCAATGACAAGTGTTTGCAGACAAACTGGCATATTTCCATGCAAAGTACTGTCAACTTCAGCAACCAAAGCAATCACAAAGAGGTTTTTGGTATATCCCCTGATAGATTTCACCCAGCAACAGCCACCAAACTCCAGCAATCACTCACCGACCTCTTGGAGATTATAGATTTTTTTTCCTAGTGACTGGAGGTTTCCAGAGAATTGCTAGCTGGTTTCTAGGCCTGTATGGCTGAGGCCTTAGGCAATGAAACCCATGCACCACAGAAAGATATGTAGTACCACTGCACAGCCAGTACAGGTTGCAGAGGGCCATAACAAATGCAAGAGACATAAAAATAATGGTAATACTGTCTGCACCAGTTTCAAAATCATAAATATATGAGAATGAAAGCATAGCAGATAACTGATGGGATTTCATCCTGCTGTGTATAATGCCATTCAAGTACGCTCTGATGGTAGATATGCCCTTTCCTTAGTGAGTTACTTATTGAGAGGATGAATCACAGATGCTGGGAGGAATCCTTGCATTTCCCTTTTTATTATTTATTCGGCAGCATGGCACAAGGAAAGCATGCGGTGCTGGAGCAACAGGGGGAAAAAAACTGCTTGGAGAGCGGGACTAATCATGCCAGTTTCACAGCATAACAAGACAACAGTTAGAATTGGATGACGACTGGAAACCCTTAAAAGCGATGCTAGCTCTGGTCCCATTACTGCACAGCCTAACGAACACCAGCCGGGCTGTAGAGTGTATTTATGATCTGCAGGACATCTGCAAATACAGACTGATTGGTATAAAAGAAAAAGACCAAAAAAAAAATCAATTTCACTGTCAGAGTGGACATTTAATTGCTGAGTTTCAGGAGGTCATGAATAAAGTGTGTGGCCCAGATTGTGCTGGCTGTATTCCACTCACGTTGCTCTTTGAGGGGTTGAGTGACTGCTCCCCTCTGCCAGAAGCGCCATCCTTGTCCCAGTGGCGTTCCACCTTAAAAAGAGGAATATGTGTGCCCAACTGGCTCCCTGACATTGACACACCGTGAGTCACGCTGCTGTGCTATTTCAGTATGGCTGCTGGCAAGCCAAGCCTTTCTGCAGCCTCTCCCCTCCCTGCTTTGGTCATTTGTTTGCCTCCCCTGCTATGCTGTTTTCTTGTAATTTGGACATCTGTCAAGGTGGTTTGTTTGCAACCCTGTGGTGTGATTAGGCTACCTGTGCCAAATCTGGTAAGAGAGATGTGGGTTGAAGCGAGCCTTGGCTCTAAAGACAGAGCCACAGCATGGCTGCTCCACATCTACCAAGTTTAGCGGGATAATTACAAAAGCACTGGGCGATCAAGATGCTGTGAAAGAGATGCAACAAGTCGAGAACATTCAGGTCAGTGATCACAAATGTATTCATCATGCTTGTCTACACGCTCTCCTGCAGTGTTAATGGTGGTCTTGTCAGTGTCCTAGTACTGTCTGTTCGGTCCCGCCTCGCCCTGTCACACAGCTTGCTCGGCTCGGAGCTCCAGTGCCAGAACCTCGTCTTACACCAGGGGGAGGAAGTGGGGCAATTAACCACCTGCTGATAAAGCAGCCATACCGCACAGCCTCACACATACCCCGATATTTGGTGGATCACTCATGGACACATTCAAACCCAGACTTATGGGTGTGGTGTCACTCAGGCGCACTGCATGAAGCTCTAGCAGAAAGCTTGCAAACACACAGTGAGCACCAAATGAGGACAGGGTTGTGCTGATTTCAGATTTGCTTTCTGATCATGTTTCATACTGAGCGTTACTAATTTGTTCATCTCTTTAATGAACGTTATTGGCAGGATCACTTTAACCCAGCACTTAAGTTTCCTAATGGTTAAGGTCACGCTCCGCGCTCACATCATACTGTACAATGTCATTCAGTCAGTACTGAATGATTCCAACGGCACATCTCACTTCATTGAAAAGATCTTCTTTTTTTTTTTAATTTTTACATCATTAGCCAGACAGATATATTGCATGTTAAAACAAATTAAATAAACCATAATGAGCCTCCATTATGCTTTTTCCTTATTTTCTGTGACATATTTGTTCTGTTACTCGTCCACGCTCATACACTATTGCCAGAAGTGTTCGCTCATCTGCCTTCACAGGAATGCTCATCTTAATCCATAGGGTTTAATATGTCGTCGGACCACCCTTTGCAGCTATAATAGCTTCAACTCTCCTGTGATGTCCTCAAGGTTTAGGAGTGTTTATGAGCATTTTTGACCATTCTTCCAGGTCAGACACTGATGTTGGATGAAAAGGTCTAGCTCACAGTCTCCACTCTAATTCATCCCAAAGCTGTTCTGTCAGGTTGAAATCAGGACTCTGTGCATGCCAGTCTAGTTATTCCACATTGACCTTGCTCATCCATGTCTTTATGGACCTTGCTTTGTGCACTGGTGTGCAGTCAGTGACCCATTCTTTCACAAATTCTTGTAGAAGTAGTCTGCATGCCCCGGTTGATTTCCTACACTTGTGGGCAGGGAAGTGATTTGAACACCTGAATTAAATTATTTGAATAGGTGAGTGAATACTTTTGGTAATATTGTGCATTAAACACGTGCAAACTTTCAAATAATGAGATCAGCTTGTGTATAAGGAACTTAGTGTGAGCCAACAGCTCAAGCTTTCGTCTAGAACATTTGGTTTCAGAAGGATTTTTTCGGTCTTAGAAGTCACTGAGGGTGGAAATTCCTAATATGGTCATTGCAGGCTGCGAGCACAAGACTGTGTACCTGCTGCTCAAACTTTCTGTTTACTAAGAGCATGCAATCAGAAGTAAGATGGCTCAAAGAAATGGGGAAAAAGCTAAAATAGCATTTTTCAGATGTTGGATGAACTGAGGAGCACCGGGTTAAGAAAAATAACACATTTATGAACTGAAAATTGTAAAAGATACCACAGTTGAGCCAGAAAAATAAAAGGAATTGATTTCTGGCCTAAATCAAAACTTTGTGTTTTGGTAAATCATTCATAGCTGATAAGCCATTTCAACCTCACTAACAGCATGAACGGCAATGGCAGCTGCCGCATGGGCTTTGCCGCTCTGTCACGTTAAGTTGTCTTTTAGTCCCAAATCAGCATGGATCTCACTATGTGCCCTGTGTGGCAGAGCAACAAAAAACAGGCAGTGTATGTTCATGGGAGTGTCAGGAAGATGGGTTACACAAGGGCTGGCAACATTTTTTTCTGGCCCATTCAGACTTAAACAAGTCTGAGCGGGCCCTCTTACCCAAGTTCCTCTTACCCTAAAAATAAGCATACCACAAAGAACTCTACAGCATGTAGCAGAATTATCATACCGTAGTTTTAGGAAGAGAGAGAATTTGCATTGTTATGAAATAACAGATGATAGATGTGATAAATAGATGATAGATAAAACTGTGAAAAAAGCAAGAAAGTACATGTAGGTGTTCATTAAACTGTTGTCAGCCAACACACACACAGAGACTGGAAACCTAAACTAGCAAAAGTCTCTTTTCATATTTTTTGATTATCTTTTATTCAAACAAGAAAAAATAAAAACAAGTATGAAGGGGGTTCGGCGTGTTTCCAAGTCTAGGAGTGGCCAACGGGTGCACTATGGACAGAGAGGGTGTGGCCATAGTTACTGCTCCTGAGTTTCACCCGAGGACAAAATAAGCCTGCTACACCTGTACTGTCACACCGGTTAGCCTTCAAGGACATACTTTTGTTGTGGATTGTGTCTTCACTTTAAGGTATGTCAGAGCTGTTATTTTTATTTCTTCCCTTTATAGCGTTTATCGATCAACATTTGATTTTCTTGGTAGTTTGTACAGACAAACACACACACACACACAAAATAAACCGTCACGACTGAGTTCTCAGGTGATGTAAGTTTATAGATAAACAACTAAGCAAACGTGATGAAGGCTCTGGGGGAGAGGTAAATGACGCCAGACATCTTTGCTTTTTGATGCCAAATACAAGCCTTTAGATTAAAACTCTTATTTTCCTGATAGTGTGTTTGCTCTCAGGTTGAAAATGGAGCCAGCATTCACGAGCGTCAGGCTAAAGGTGGCTGTGCTGTTTCTGGTGACAATTCAGCTGAGAACAGGTGAGTGTGGGGTTTTTCTTTCTTTTTGATTACATCTAAGGAGTTTTTTTCAGGTTTCTGAGCATGTTGAATCAGGGAACACAATGATCACCGGCAGAAGAGTTGTTTTTCTTAGGAATTCTGAACCTGAATCTGATTTGTGATCCACACAGCAGATGCAGTTCACTGTAACTCAGCTGATGATCTGACCATTTCACGTACTCACTGAAGGGTGCATTTGTAGTGGGGATGGCTGAGAAGTACCCCGCATAGCATTCATACCTTAAATTATTGTGGCTGAGGGTCAAACAGCTATGTGCATTTGCAAAGCGCGACCCTGAGGGATTTTATTGTGACCGGGGGAGTAATTAGCCTCGGGCCCCCATCCAAGCTGTCTGTATTAAATATAAGAGCAGCATAAAAATGCAAAAAAAAAAAATTAAATCAAATACGCCCAGAAAAAACCCTCAAACCTCAACGTCCCCTTCATTATTCAGATAATGCTTCCTAATTAGACCAAAAGTTCACCGCCTTATATAAAGAGCCACGACTGATTCTTTCGGCTCTATCGTGACTGTTTGAGGAAAGCACCTGGGCGTGTGCATTTCCATTCACAGGAGGAATAAACAACATTAATGATGGCAGTATTCCAACCATCATTTTATTTACGATGAGCGACATCCAGGGTTTAGCATTGTACGTGGCGATTCCTTTAAATTCCTCTGCATCATTGATGTAAACACTTCTACTTCTGCTTCTACTGTTATGACGAGTCAAAAAATTATTCCAGAGAAGAAGTAGGGGTGAGCAGGAGGAAACACACACAAAACAAAACAAAAACAAAAACTGTGAGGCACCTTTGTATTTGCCAATGAGGGGAGGGCACAGGGATGTGCATGTTTGTACTGAGCTCAGTGGCTGAACCTACTGGCAAGTTAGCTCAGTGGCCTCTTCACTAAAAAAACGCATCTTCACAAAAACGCATCTTCTTTAGATCCCAGTGTTTTGCCCTTGGGGGTGCTGGGAGTTGGGGAGGGCGGCTTTCACGGTGTAAACATTTGACTGACTAATTTGTTTTTTTTCCACACTCACTTCGTCACATCTGCCATTGTGTACACTTTCATAAATACCCCTGACATTCTCTGCTTTGTTGTGGTGCCACTAAAGTGCATTCCGAGTGCTTTCAGGGGGTTATAGTGGATTTAATGATGAGCGATGTCAAAACAGAGGCTGATTTGATTTGAGCTCCATTTAGATATTTTCTGAAGGTTGGACACCCGAACGAAGGGGGAGGGATGGCGAGAAGATAGAGTCGAACATTATCGAGATAAATAACTCTGATCTGTTGAAGTGTGTCACCACGCTATCAGTGTTGACTCTGGCAACAGTTGAATAAAAATCTAAGGCCAAAAAGAGTGAGTTAGCGAGGAGTGTGTGTCAACTCAGAGACGGCTCGTAACTGGCTCATGTGTTCAGCTTTCATCATTATTTGCAGATATATTTCAGACAATTAATAAGCCTCCAGAGTTTAATAAGTTAAATTTAATATGCAACCCCAACCCAAAAATAAAAAAAAACTTTTACTTTAATTTATGTACAAGCCCTCAAAATCTTCAGTTTGACTTAAAAGGCCTATTAGTCTCACATCAGCACTTCTTCTCCTCCCTGAGACGGCACAGGAGCGCAGGCCCAGAGCTTGAATGCCATTAAGTAGGAGAAATATTAATACGTTTGAGAGCGAAATTCATTTTATTCTGTCTTCTTTCTGTCTCTTAACTTGGGTACACGACTGTAAGAATCCAATGGAGAAAGAAAGCATTGTTCTAAGTTAGACGGAGCTTAATATAATTTTTGGTTTCATCCCATGTTAACAGAGGCGATGCAGATAACATCCACGGGGGCGCAGACCATTCAGTATGCAACGGGAACGACTGTTAAACTGGGATGCACCTATACTCCAGCCACAGCAGACACAGGACCGCTGGATATTGAGTGGTCCAACGTCAGTCCGGACATGACACAGAAGGACACAGTGGTATGTTGCATGTGTGATGACAGAGAGGATTTATAGAAAGACAGAGGAAATATTGCATTTAGGCTCAGTTAGCTGGAAAACCTGAATCAAAAAATAAGACATTACTCAGTGCAAATCTTGCCTCTCAGATCTTATCATATTCAGGTGGCCAGACCCACTACATGGACAACAGCGTCTCCAAAAGGTTCAGTTTCACAGGGAACCCCGACCAGGGAGATGCTTCGATCTCTATCACTGGTGTGACAGTCTCAGACACCGCCACATACCAGTGTAAAGTCAAGAAGCTCCCAGGCATTGACATGAGAAAAATCACACTGGTTGTGTTGGGTGAGGACAAATTGCTTTTTTTGTTTTGCTTCTTTTTTTTTAACCGGTCTAACTTGTTTCATTTCTCAGCCGTCTGCTTTTAAATGTGCTCATTCACATGGAATGCAAAGGCTCCTCCATTCTTTCTGTCTCAGTAGATTACCTCACTGCAGCCATACCCAGATGCTTCAGTGTTGAATCAGAGCATTGCACTAAAATAATTTTTGTGCCATATGGGCTGTTTCTTTTTTTTTTTTTTCATTAGTTCCCCCATCACCGCCAAAGTGTTGGGTTGAAGGTGGTGAGGAGAAAGGAAGCACAGTCTCCCTCCGCTGCGTATCCCGTCAAGGATCCTCTCCCATCAGCTATGTGTGGACGAGAGACAACGGAGCTGCAATGCCATCCACTGCTACTCAAAGTAAGCAACTTAGCACCAGGATGCCTTTTTCTAAGAATGCTCTTCTCTAAACACTAATGCGGCTGTGTTTGTGTAGGTAATGTGCTTGTACTCAGTGCTGTCTTCTTTCATTAAGACCAACAGAGTGGGGAGCTTCTGGTAAAGAACCATACAGACAGCAACACTGGAACTTATGTCTGCGAGGCAGCAAACGCTGTGGGCAAAGGGCAGTGTAAATACGTACTGCATGCATACAACCGTAAGTCTACAATATCATCATCTTATTTTCAGTTTAACAGCTCTGAACACTCATATCCTGAAGGTACCTTTTTTGACTTGCTTTTATGCAAAATCACATATAATCCTCTTGTTGGATTTGGAATTCAAGAAGGTGAGCTGCACACGTTTGATTTCTAAGCAATATGTTGCCTCTTCCAGCTACCAATAAAGCAGGTGTGATCGCTGGCGCTGTGATAGGCGCTCTGCTGCTTCTGCTGCTCCTCCTGCTTCTCATCTGGCTTCTCATCTGCTGCTGCCACAAGCGTCGCTACCAGAAGGAGGTCGCGAATGAAATAAGGTATTTTACGGCCGTTTGAGGCATCTGTCAAACAATCTCAGATCGGTCAGCAGCTTAACTGAGAACCTGCGTGACTCTGCTTTCCCAGGGAGGATGCGCAGGCCCCGGAGAGCAGGCCCCCGAGCAGGAACTCCAGCATGCACTCCAGCCGGCACTCCAGCCTCCGCTCGGTGATGGGATACCGCACTCACCACGGCGTCATCTACAGTTCCGTAAGGGGCAATCTGCCTACGGTGAATGAATCGGGCCCAATCTTCACAAATGGAAGCAATGGGTCGACCACAGGCGGGGAGATACCCGCTCACCTCACATATGACCCTAAATATGGATACGCCGTGTGACCACAAACCTCAAGCCTAACAGGCTCTTAATTTTATTTTTAGTGCTCAACTACACTTTATGATAAAAAAAAAAGACTCAACACCTTTTAAATAATGTTCTGTGTCTGAAGTATATAAGGGCCAAGAGGTGCAATAATATATACATGTTTTTTAAACCAGGGAACAATGGGAGTGTTTGCATAGCTACTGACTCATAAAATCCTACCCTCATGTGACATATTATATGTATCAGCTGACTTTCATGAAGCACTTTAGCACATCACTGTTAGTGTAAAACAAACAGAAGAACAGGTTTTCATAATCACAAATAAGATTTGCTTTCTTGGGTTTTTTTTTTAATTTTTTAAAACTGTATGCAAAATGTATATAGCAAAGCAATTGTTTTTTTATTATGGTGCTTTTTTTCCTTCTTGTTATTTTTTTTTATTTTGTACAGTTTAATGTTTTAATTGGCAAGTCAAGGCGAACAACAAATGTAAATGGCATTCGGGTGTTTGTGTTGTCGGTCCACATGGGTCACATGTGTACAAATGTAACTTAATTAGAGAGATTAACGAATGAAGAATCCATTAAAATAAATATCTAGTGCAGAGTTCTTGTTTAAAAAAAACCTCAAAATCTTGGTCATTTAATATGCTTGATGTGTTCTCACAGCTTTCACAGTTGCTGCTATTTTCAGGGGTGTAAGTGGCTCGATAATTGGGGACACTTTAGAATAGTTAGCTTTACCTCTGACCCTCTTTATGTCAGTTTGCCTTCTGGTAAAAAAAAAAAAACATAATAATTTGTAGAGCAAAACGAAGCAGAATTGCCTCATTCATGTCCTGTGCAGGGATGCATGTCTGATCTTTTTGGGGAGGGGGTAGGAAGAAGGTAAACTAGCTCTTAGTCTAACTTTGGAGGTACTGACCTACAGCTGACACCTTCAGTAAGCAGAGTCAGCACTGTGCCTGCAGCCCCATCTCCTCCTGATCCTATCTTCAAAAGGTGCATATTGAATGAATACGAGCTGCTGGTAGTGGTGTGGCTTGGTCAGTAATTCTGTTTCCAGTCCCCTTCAGGGCAAGGGGTACCCCATCCCAACCCACCACACAGCTACACCAACAGACTCGCATAACACAGTGTTTAATGTGCCTCTGCTGTGCTTGACTTTGTCGTTTGTTTGCTTCCCAAGAAGACAAACACATCCTCTGTGGGTCCGTGTTAATGTCTGTGACTTTCTGTTTGCTCTAACCAGTATTTTTCCCCCCTTTCTTTCCCAGTAAATGCACATCCGTCAAGCTTTCTCATGTGCTCACACGTTAGCCTTTGATCCATGCAAGAAGCAGGAAAACGGATACAATAATTAATTACAAATACTGTTCTGGAAGCCTTGTTGGAAAATCGCAGTCTTGCTTTGGAGGGCAGAAGTTTTAACAGGGTTGGCATTGTAAATTTTTTTTATTATTATTATTTTTAGAAAAAAGAAAAGGCTACCACCACAGTCTGCTTTCAAAGAGCTTTTGTATGAAAAACTGATTTTTAATGCTCTTGTGCAACAAAAAGGCAGAATCTGTCCTTGAAATTTGGCTTAAGGTGATTTTTGTTTTTTTATAAAGAAAAGTGCAACTGCAGACTGTTGGGAAAGCCATACTGTGTGCTTATGAAATTAGCATCTTGCTTGTTTTGACTGGATAAATGGAGTAAACAATAAATCTAAATAGAGTTGAACTATAATTTAAGTCAGCACCTCATTAAAAAGAAAGTTGGGGTGCTCCACAGCACAAGCTAAAGTGATAAGGTGCTGCATGAGCACAGCTTGTGAAGGTGACTTAAAGGTGATTTGCTGTTCTTATCAGGTAAATGGGCACGTGGGCGGTTTGGTGTTTGTAAATATGTGGCGGACAGCAGGAATAAGTATTTGCATGCGGTGCGTGTTGGATTGTGGTTTGTGGATTGGCTGAGCTGCTGTGCTGCACTGACAGACGTACAGTAAAGTCATTGGATATCAATACGCACTGCTCAAAAAAAATGGAAGGACTTTTTAATCAGAGTGCAGCCTCAAGTCAATTAAACTTGTGGAATATTGATCTGGTCAGTTAAGTCATAGAGGGGGTTGTTAATCAGTTTCAGCTGCTTTGTTGGTCATGAAATGAAACGAGAGGGGCAACAATGAGACAATACCCAAAACAGGAATGGTTTTACAGGTGGAGGCCACTGACATTTTTCCTTCCTCATCTTTTCTGACTGTTTTTTCACTAGTTTTGAATTTGAAGTCAGTGTCATTATTGGCAGCATGAGGTGCCAAGGTTTGCTGTGTCTCCCAGCACAGTCTTAAGAGAATGGAGGAGATTCTATGAGACAGCCAGTTACTTAAGGAGAGCTGGACAGGGTCATAAAAGGTTCTTCCCATATCAGTAGGACTGGTATCTGGAGGAATAGCATGGGCACTGTCAGAGGCTGCTGGTGTGAATGTCTCTTACCAAACAACCAGAAATAGGCTTCATGCTGCCCAGTACTGTGCAGCTCGATTGGAATTTCCCATAGAATCCCAGAATTGGCAGGTCCACCGCAGGCACCCTGTGCATGTGAAAAAGTCTTGATAAGCTGTGGAGAATGTTATGCTGCCTGTAACATCATTCAGCATCATTCGTTTAGTGGTGGTTCAGTGATGGTTTGGGAAGGCATTTCAATCAGGGACACACAGACCCCTATAAGCTTGACAACAGCGCCCTAACTGCCTTTAGATATCAGGATTAAAGTTCCTTCGGGTGATGTGATGACAGTATGCAGGCAGTTCTATGACAATGAAAGAACTGATACCACTGAATGGACGTAAATCTCTGGGACATTGTGTTTTGGTCCATCCGATGCTGCCAGGTTGCAGCTCAGACTGTCCACAAGCTCATCGATTCCCATTGAGATCTGATGTTTTCAAATTGTCCCTTTATTTATTTATTTATTCATTTATTTTGATCTGTGTATAATGAGCACATATCCTGTCCACCTTATGTCAATGCAAACCAGCTGTCGCCACTACCTGTGGTCAGGGATGATGCAAATCATACCCAACGTGAACATATAAATCCCCATGAAAAGAAAACTTAGATCCAAGACTTTCACCTTGCGTGTGCATCCTGCAGACATCTCCAGGCAAGGATTAATGCTTGGATAAACAAAACAAAACAAAGGATTCCTCAGCTGCTGCCAAAGTTATTGAGCCAGACAGGGTATTGTCACGACTAACAGGCAAAGAGAACGTAAGCAGAAACCTTCAGTTGGATTCACGGCAATAAAAACACAATATCTGACCCAGGTGAGCTTCACTAGTGTAGGAATTTCCTACACTAATTACTCTAACCTTCTTACCTCACTTGTTCGCTTTGCATGTGACCACCTTAAATTTCAGAATTGGCATAAAATTCGAACATTGACCAAAGATTTTAATTGGGCCTGTTTGTATCTGTTTAATGAATTTCAAATGCTAAATTTGTGAATCTTTTCCTCGGGCCCTTCTGACAAGCTATGACTGATTCAATTCTGTGACAGAAATGAAGAATCATCTGATTTTGGAGTGTGTGTATATAATTTATTATTCCTCTCCCCCCCTTCTTGTCATCTCTTTGAACGCAGCAAAAACAAAGCACTTCAGAAGCCCACACAGACTGCTGAGTGTTGCACGGAGACTTAAAGACTACGGTATCCTTGTTAAAGTTTACGGCACAGAAGAGTTTGGGGTGAAAGTTATTATGTTTGTGTTAATTAAATATCCCCTCTGGGTAATGACGGGTGTGCTGGGCATCACCACTGTCTTTTTTAATTCCTATATCTCTTTGATGAGTGTGTTGAACTACAAGGAGAAAAAGCAGTGGACGCCTTGTGAAACTATCACCATGGCTCTGTCGGTGGCCAGTATTGCTCACCAGATGACTTGCTACTTCTGGATGACCATGGATGAGGTGGACAGTAACTGCCAGATTGCCCAGATAGGCTACGCTATCCTGCTGGTGCTTACCTTCGGCTTCAAGTTCACCATCATGTGGAACAGCAGCTTTCTCACTTTCTACTACAGCACCAAACTGGTTCACGAACCCAACCACTGCTACACACACGCCCAAGATGTCATCGTCAAGCACGTGACCATAGCTGTGATTCTAATCCCCCTGTTTGGTTTTGGCACCTGTTTGCCAATGCTTGTGTTGTTTAACGCTGGCAACGCAGCTAGCAGCGCTGCTGGAAACGCGGTTGGCAACATCACCTACAAAGCAAATGGAGACTGTGGACTTGTATTCTCTGACACCACTTCTGTGAAGGTTTATCAAGTCATGTACTTGCTCCTCTCTGATGTATTTCCAGGGGTGGTCATGGTGAAATGCTGCATCTCCATCTCTGTTCACCTGGCCATCCATCTCCAGCACATGAAAGCTAGCACCAATGGAACCCACCCTCCAAAGCTGGGCACTCAGATAAGGGTCATCGAGATGGCTCTTGGTCTAGTGGCCAACTTTCTTGTCCTGCTCGTGGTCGACCTGTATGTCAACTACAAAATTGTGGTGCACCAAGAGAGCACCCTCTCTCTCACAATCTTTTTCACATCACTCTACACGACCGTTGCTGCCGTGGTGCTCATCTACGGCAAGAGGACTCTTTGGAAAACACTGATACATGATTTTAACTTCTGGCTGAGTGAATAACTGTATTTGTCTTGTCTGAAGGTGCCTGAATAAAAGACTCAAGCCAGCCTTCCTTCAAAAGTTAAAAACTGGGGGACAAAAAAAAGCCAATTTGCTTTCTGCTGGAGGTCTTTGTGCTGAAATCAATTGGTCATTGTCTGAACTTATTAAAAAACTTTGAAGTATTCTTTTATCTTTTGTGCTAGCAATTTCAGTAATGACTACTGTCCTGCTGCATCACCATTAATTACAGTTTCTTGCATCAGAATGGGATTTTAGCTGTGCTGGCCCCTTAGATCTCAAGTGAACAAGTGAACGCACACCGGGGCCAGATAACCAGCTGACCAGGCCAGTACCTATGAATATTAATATTTCAGTAGTACAAATAATAAGTCAGGCCTGTAAAACAGATCCCAAAGCATGCGTGCTTAGACATGATGTAACTCGGGGCCCATCTGAAAACGTTAAAAAATACATGTGACTGAAGTAAGAGTACAGAGCATATTAATAAAACAGGAACATATGCAGAACCTGGATTTAAGAGTTTCTCCCCCCTCACTCAGGTTGCAGATAGTTTAAGCTGCACACAGGGACTGGAGTAACCTGCACGTTAGCTGGAAGGATGCCAGGCCAAATCCCCGCTCCATATGAGGGAAAAAAAACACAAACCCAATGACCCCCCCCTCCAACATCCTCCTCTTTAGTATATGTGTTCGCTGGCCCTCGACAGAATCGTGTATACCTGCACTCGACAGCTCCCAGGTGTGACTTTAAGTAGCTGTTGCTGAGAGTGTGGATATGAAGCCGGTGTTCCTGAAAAGTGCACTCATGCCCAGCAAACCTACTCTGAGTAAATAGAGGGGCTTTTTTATAAAAGGGAAAAAAAGAAAAAAAAATGCAGCAGACCTCCTTGCAATGCTACATTAGTTCACACCCTCTGGCACCACCTAGTGAGGTTCAAAGCAGAGATACAATAGTGCAGCTAATCCCACTACACACACAGACTCGGGATCCCTCCAGCTGTTAAACGGACAAAGTAAGAAAGGGCGTATTATCCTTTGATGCAGGGAGTTAAGTCGTACCAAGGCCTCCGCTTCCATTCCTGTCGTCTTCCCTTCTCCCTGTTGGAGGGAGCTGGATTCAACATAACAGGGGCAAGTTAGGTTAAAGATGAGGCCAAGAACAGCTCAGTACAATAAAAGGAACCAAAAAATAAAAGAGCTAATATGGCTACAAATGGCCATTTCTTCAGTGATTAACTGAAAGAAATGGCTACAGTTGTAGCTGCTCAAACTGGACCTTACTGGTCTTAACTACCATATGCACATACGGTAGACTAAAGCTGTTTTAATGATCACTTTTGGACTTTTTCCTTTGACAGTTGAAGCAATAAATAAATAAATACTTGTGTTTTTTAAAACTACGCTGCATTTAGTGGAAGATAAAAAAAAGATGCAAATTAAGACTTAAAAGACAAAAGGCAGTAAATGTGATAATTATCATTTTAAATGAGTGAAATTATAACAAACAGGGGTGGCATGGTGGTGCAGTGGCTAGCACAGAAGGTGCTGGGTTTGAATCCAGGCTGGGACCTTTCCATATGGAGTTTACATGATCCCTCTCTGCAGGTACTCAATCTGCAGTCCAAACATATGCATGGGGTTGAGTTAACTGGTGATTCCTAAATTGGCCACAAGTGTGAATGTGTGTTAGCCCTGCAACAGATCGATGACCTGTTCCAGGGTGTACCCTGTGTCCTGCCCTGTGGATAGGCTCCAGCAACCCCAAATCGGATGGATGAAAAATAAATATTCCACCTGGAACTTATATGTTGTCTACGAACTATGGAGGACAGAATGTCTTATTTTGTATTCACAGCTTGTTTCTGCTGACCCCAAGAGACCAAAAAAATCCTGCAGGTTGAAAAATAAAATAAATTATTGAATTTTATATTGAATTTTATATCGAATTTTCTACCGCAGATTAATTTATAATGACTTGTAAATATTCTGAAAAGCAGCCGCCCGAGCTTCCGCAGTAAGATCTAAATTAAAATACAGTGGACTGGACTAAAAGAATTAAAGTAGCAGAAATATCTAAGAGAAGTATCTCAGAATTGTACTTTAGTACTTTGTTATGTCTGATAAATGAAGTGTAAGAGTTTGCAACTGTGTTCTGGAAAAAATGTTTCAAACTTCGACTGAGTGCTGTCTCAAGGAAATGGAAATTGTGTGAGTGACCTCAGACTGTGGAATGACTCAGACACTCCGATGTGCCACTGGCTTGTAAGTCAGGTGAGAGGAGACTGGAAAAACGTCTGCAACAGAAAGGAACAATGCTGTTGTGATTTCTGCCCTTGGAATTGTTACCGCATTAAGCCGTAAACCTGTTACACTATGAGGTTGTTTCCATGGAGATGTTCCCAAGTATCCAGCTAAAGTTGGCAGTTATTACGCTGCTTCCTTTGCATGAGTGAACATCCCTTTAAATGTCCACTGCCCATGAGACTTGAAGGGAGAAAGATACCCCCGCACCTCACTATCCAACAGGAAGGGAGAGGCCATTAACAATACAGATTAGCAACACCAGCACCATCCCACAATTCCTAGAAGAATTGCGTAAAGTCCTCCCTGCTTTCACACAAAAACACTCTCCAGCCTATGCACCAGTGAGCTAAAGTAAAGTATCGTTTACCTACACCAACTCTAATTGTGTTTGAAATGCATAGGTCACCACTTCTGTGTCTAGTTTGTTGATGTTTTGAGCTTGAGTGGGTAATTTTTTTCACGCCATCAACAGCATCCCAATAACTGTCTGTGTGAGTGCTGCGTTTCCACCGAGGGTACAGAGGGTAATCTGTATTCTGTATGGAGGCAAGATTGCAGCTAAAAGGCTTTTTTTTTTTTTTTTCAAATAATCATAGTCATCAAAAAAAGGGAAAAAATAGGGAGTCTGCAGGCATTTCAGAAACTGCTTTATTTCTGTTAAGTCAACAACAGCTTGTTCATAAAAAAGATCATCATATATCTCTTGAGGCATTGTTTGTATAAAACGTCTTTGATGCACGTTAAGGAATTTCCACTGTACAAAGTTAATCCCTTGTAAAAACAATGTAAATTTAATAAAACACTGGCAAATTAACAAAAGATTCAACTCTATCATTCTTAAAGCACTTTTACATGCAGAGATTTTGCACATACTGTTTCTTTTAGAACATTTTGACAGCGCACAGGAAAAAGTGTATATTGAAATCATACTAAAAATTACACTGCACTCAAAATAAACAATCTCTGTACACACTGGGTGTGCAAAACTAAGGAAATACTCAATTCAACGAATAGCAATAATTTACTTGAAAATTAATTGATAAAAAAGAAAATCTACCCACACCTGAAATATCAAACTAAAGTGAACTTCAGAGGTATTTATGCTTGTAGCACATAGCGTTTAGGGTTCTTTAAAGGACCAGTTAGAAAGTTTGGAAAATTTGCCTATTTACTCTCTTGACAAGAGAAAGAGACTATACCACTTACATCATTGTCTAAATGATGACTCCATAACCTACAGTTAGCTTAGCATTAGAACTGAAAACAGCTACCGACTGGAAACAATTCAGATCTCACGATTTCCTCTGGGATTAATAAAATATCCTAATTTGTTCACAAAAGAGGGAAACGTTGTGTTTTACATGTGGCAGCATGAGTATCTCTTGGCCAAGAGCAGTAACTTTCTGATCTTATTTCTGATTGCCACACAATGTCATCTTTAAACTAAAGGTTTCTTATAGTTTCGTGATTTGATTTATTAAGTGAGCTTTACAGATGGCAGGTGTATTTTTGTGTTGTCTATGTCTAATGCTAAGCTAAGCTAACCTTTTGGCTTAAATTCAAGCAACAACCTGGAAGTGCAAAAAACACAGATCACCTGAAGCTGGCTCCAAAAGGGAGTCAGTCCCCATAGACTCTTGTGTAAAAATACCCAGATATGAAGTGAATGTTTATGGCCAGGTACAATACTTGTTTTGGGATTGTATGTATAATTAGCTTCAGTCATGGTTCAAAGTTAAGGTCATTTGAACTGTTACAAAAATGAAACCAGCTGATCCAAGAAGAGTTGGCCAAAACTGAAACAAACAAATCTGTTTATGTCAGCTGATCTATTAGAATATAAGATCACCAAATGTTGCCATTAGTCTATATCTGCTGGGCACCAATGCAAAAAATGGACCTGCTGTTGCTGTTTTTTTTTTTTACTGGAATTTCCTGGAATAGTTTCATCTTACCCATGGATGCAGCTTAGCTGATAACTTAGCACTACACTCAGTGGCCTAAATATGGTCACTTCCTGTTCCAGAAATGCAAGCTGTCATGAGTTTAGCTAAATTGGAGGCTTCAAAAATACAGAAATCACAAACCAATCAGTGATGTCATTCGTCTTTTATACACAGTCTGTGCTCCATGCTACATGCCCACTAAAAAGGTACAAGAGTGGCATCTATGATCTTGTCTCCTAACCAATGCAAATAAGCAGATTTTCCAAAACGTCCTTTCACTGAACCTTACCATCACCATGATGTAGTTTCGTTTGGATGCATGGGTTACAGTATTCAGTTCATCATCAACATCAAAACAAACGCATAATCTGCAGCACATTCAATAATGCCATCCAGTGTCTCTGAAACATTGTGGTTTAGACACCATCAACAAACAATAACTACATTCTGTACATTGTTTTCCCTGCTCTCAATCAAGTTCGATATGAATCTAATGCAGCTTTTTACTGTTTAAATATGGAATGCTGGTAAACAGCTAGAGGGGAAATGAGTCATCCAGTGTCATTCTATAAGCACACACACTGTTCAGCCACAACATTAAAACCACCAGCTCTGAGTAGGTTCCCCTCATGACACTCGGACACAGGGCACTGATAGGGGACCACGCAGAATGTCTTGTGCTGTCTGGCACTGGGACATCGGGAGCAGATCATTTGTCCCCTGAGGGTTTGGTGCATTTTGTGGAAGCCTCATAGGACTGAAATCTGGGAAGTTTGGAGGCCAGGTCAATGCTTTGGGCTGTTTTGGATGCTTTCAAGTAGGTCCTGAGCAGTTTTTTGTGGTGTAGGAAAAGAGCCCATTGCTACCAGCTACTTTTCCCATGGGTAGCTGTGCTTGGTCTGCAGCAGCTTG